GCCCACTAAGGCCTCCGCCTCCTCGGGGTGTCGACGCCGCACAACTCATGCCTGAGTCGTCAAAGGTGGTGGCATTCGACTGAGACTGCCGTGGACTTGTGATCGGTCGGCCGCTCAGACCGCGTGGGCTCTCCACGCGATCGATGCTAGATGCCCGCTCGTCGCTAGCGTCGTAGTCGTACTCAACGTCACTAGTTGTCGAGACGCCTTCTGCAGATCTCTCAAACTGCGCAGCATCGTTGGCGACCCCGGCATGTGCAACCGCATTGGCTGCTGTCTCGTCGAGGCTTTGTTGAGTGCTGCTGCCTGCGCTCGATCGCAACGTGGGCGCGCGCACTTTGGACGCAGCGCGCGATGTCCGCCGTGTCGCATCGGCATCTGCGCCCTCCTCGACACTGCTCGCATCGGTGCCCGCATGCGACCCCGTCGGTCGGCGGTCGTGCGTGGAGCTACTCGGCTTGCGGCTCGACGACGACATGGAGAGGCGATTGGGCGAGCTTGTTCCTTTCGACCCCATGGCTTGCGATGGTCGCTTCGTCACGCGTTGGGGTGTCGTCGTGCCTACCATCGTTTGCGCGTGTGTGTTGAACATGAGGTTACCTAAATCCATATGGGGGTCGTAGTCGAAGCTCGGCGGGTGGCTCGCGTGGTACATGGTGGCCGTCTTGTTGTGTTCAGGGGGCGGGGCGCTCGTCGATACCAACTTGAGCTTTGTATGCAACGTCTTGGTCAACGGTGTGTCGTCGTCATCGAGCAGGGACGCGAGGTGCCGGGGTCGGTGCGATGCGGGCGCGTCATCGTCGTCCAACAGCAGCGTTGTTGCCTCCGTCGCAGAGGCATTGGTTGTCACTTGTTCCGTGCTACTCTCGGGTGCCGCGCCGTCTGCGGTGTCGCTTTCGGCACTGGTTGCATCGGAGGTTTTGGCTCCGCTACCGTCGCCTGTTGTGTTCGAGTGAGATGCGTTTTCCATTTTATCGACAAGGAACCTCGCGTGTGGTTGCGGTATTTCCGTAGCTGGGCCTTCTCGACCTCGTCGAGGAAACTCGATATGAGCGGCGACGAGACATTGCTGCCGGCCTCTGCGACGTCAATGTACTTGACCTCTACACACTCGTGGTGAAGATGACATCAACGCCATCGCACCTTCGAGGCGCCGCAGTCGAAACGAGCCTGACTGGCGGAGTGTAATGCCGTTCAATATCCAGTAGAGCAGGTTGCAATACTACACGAGCACATGAGAAGCGACGAGAGGCGATGATCGTACGTCGTCTGCGTCCAGCGAGTCGCACCAAATGTCTAGTTGAAGTGAGTACCAGATCCGATGACCAGACCAGATTACCAATGAGCTCAAAGAGCGAGAGGTGAAACATCTCGTACTCGAGGTTCGTATGCGTGGCAATGTCCCGCTTCCAGTCGTCCTGGGGTGCGTGAGACGCCTTGTTGACCATCATCAATATCATCGTACGGCGATCATGATTCTCGACTCGCCAAGGTCAAAGAGCTCGATGAGCACCTTGTGAATGCGCAGAAAGAGGCGCTGGTAGTCGTCAAACTCCATTTTTGCCGCGTCCGGCTTGACCATTGTGAGCCAAAACACCCGCGTCATCCGGCACAAGAGCGGGTGGTACCGCAGCTCAAGTCGTTTTTGCAAGTTGTCCTATCGCGCCTCGCCTAACACCGAAGAAGTCTAGTACTATACATGGTCGTACATCCGTGTAAAACTTGAGGTCGCCTTGGTGGTCGTAGCTCACGTTCGCACCAGGATCGAGGGCAGTGACGACTTCCCTACAACAGCACGATTGAGTTGATCACAGAATGTATCGCAAGAGCAGAGACCCTTCGGCGACGAGCCGAATGACGGCCTGTCGGATCTCGTCGATGTGGTCCGCGGCATCGATGAGCTTGGGCGTGACGAGCGATGGCTGGTGCAGAAGCTCGGGTGTATGCTTGGGCACGGGGCGTGTAATGTCTTCAAAATTGAGCGGATTCATTTCAGGGGACAGCGGCGCATTAGGTGGCGGCTTCTCTTTGATGGTGGCTTTCCGAGGCGGCTCGACTTGGTGCGGAATGACAACGGCCTCTGCTTCGGGAGTGGCCGGTGCCTCCTCGACGATCGACCCGGGATGCTCTAGCGGCCGCGAGGTCTTGTTGTGCGACGACGTCTTGACCATTTGCCCGAGCATAATGCTCATGACCGACTGCT